CATCTCTTTAATTTTTCTTAGGATCAATCGCTGCGAGTTGCCATAACATCATACATTAAACTTTGTGTCTAATTAACATACAAGTAAATTGTGTCATTTTATTTGCTTCTGTTCATTTCATGACTTTTTCTTCTATTCTTCATATTACATCAGCCTGATATCATCACCCAAAATAATCTGGATGAAGTTTACCGTACTACTGTGGGGTATGAGAGTATTCCAGCCACCTCGCTAGCTGTTTCTTCTGGTCTTGACAAAACCGGTATCATAACCAGCCTCTCTGGCGCCACTACACTTAACACGAGCGTTTCCGTAGGCGATAGTAGCAGCAGTTGCTGTGACAACTCGTTTCCAACTTCCTCACCTTGCGCCTCCGCGTCCGTCACCATCTCGTCCTCAAGCCCTTGTTCCACTTCGCCGACAACTCTCTTACCCCATTTGCAGCCTCTCCAACCAGCTTCATTCTCCTCTGACTTGAGCAGCATACCTCATGGGTCTAATCACAACCTTTCTTCCTTAGGAGCAGGGGTTACTGAAACCTGCATCACTCTTGATTTGGCTTTGGATACCGCAGCTTCTAATCGGGCAACCGCTCTGAGGCCTCTGCCGGCAGCTGGCCGGTTCTCATTCGCAACTGGCAGTCTGATAGGCATACCTACTGTTAACACAATTTCTTCTAGGTCATTGGCGACAAGCCATGTTTCAGTGCCTAATTCTGCCTCTTCATTAGTTGCAGGCCCAAGCCCCTCATATATTGGTGCTATAACTTCTCTCGGTACGTATGGATTAGAGTTGCCATTTTGAGTCAGTTTTTTTATCTGCTTTATTGCTTTAAGTGCTTCATCTGCTCACTATATCACATGGCCAGTTTTCTTTATCACGAAGTCAGGGCTGGAAGAATCAAGAATAATCCGTCTATTTAATGAACTAAGCCATCTAATTTGCTCAATTTTATCGTGGAGATGTAATATTTTTATTTGCCGTCCATTTGCACATAGGGATGCCATCATATACACCTAATTTGAACCTTCCAAGGTGACTCCAATTGATTCATTATGATTCATCAGATTCTCATATCAATATTTTAAATCAATTCTATTCTTCCTAGTACTTAAATCCTTGCTGTGGCATCAATATAATCATTTTTATGACGATCCGATGCTATATCAATATTTAGCTACAATCCTTTTCTCCAAGTCTTTCTCAATACGCTCAAGCCATGAAAATGAGGTGAAACCGAGTCTGTTAAACGTAGAAGGACTGCGACCACTCATTAACTTGTTTTTCTTGTTCACATTTATCACTTTAATTGATTTGGCCTTAATCACTCATTAAATATAGTTGTAATTTCAGGCATGTTCACCAATTAATGTTTAAGTGGCTACTTCAATCCTATATTGACTCGTCTATACTCATCCTTCATTGCCACTTATCCCTATAGCTGTACGCACCGTAAAATCAACCGCCTCTTTTACCTTACGAGAGGTTATTATGCACCCACCGGATTGAACATCGTTTTGCACTTGACTACATCGAAGTTCGACCCTACCTTTTATACCTCCAGCATCCTTCGTAGTATTTACTTTTTCAACCATATACCTACAAATTTCCCTCTATGCTACCAAGACATTGCATAGGTCCACTGTGGGAATCATTTGAGTTTTTAGGTTATTGTGGCTTTAGAAGTTATTAACTTTCAAATTGGTGTTAAACATAGTGGATTTATTGCCCTGCTTTTCTGTCTGTAGAAGTCATATATTCTTATTATCCTGCCGAGATAACTATAGATTGACGGATATCTATAAGATCCCAAGTCTTATTTAGCTTACCATTCTATCTATTTTTTCTATCGTCTAAAATAATGAAAGATATTTTTTATATGTTCAAACGACTTAAAGTAAAGATTAAAACAAACTTTCGAGAGGTTCTTTGATATATTGACCTTTAGTTTTCATTTATTAGCAATTCATTTCTTTGGTTTCTATTCGCATTCATATCTAGTACCGTTTGAGCCTACATTTACAAGTGAACGGTTTTAAATTTTTTTATCATTCATGTTCTAAAAGCCATTATAAACAATAAAATAAATAAATAAATAAATAGAAACAAAAAATAATGAAGTCTTCCTACCAATATGACCAAGTTGCGAAAACAAGGTCAAACGACTTCAATAAAATATTTAACTCGAAATATCTGAGGTATGAAGAACAGGATGGTGTGGCCCTTAGTATGGTCGCGGTCTTCCTTCGTTGTGCAAAAGTTGTTTGACCTTGGTTTCGTAACTTGGTCATATTGACAGGACGATCTAGAGAAACACGCACTGTCCGGAGTCCATAGTATGCATGATCATTTCCAGAGTCGGACCGTGGAGTGGGTAAATTCCAAAGGTTTGTTCCTCTAGGTCTTCCTGCCAATATGACCAAGTTACGAAACCAAGGTCAAACAACAAAATGTCTAAATGGGGTTGCCACAACAGAAATTATCCATTAAGATTATTTCCATGGTGTTAGCCTACATTTTACTTATTTTTACGGGACCACAAACTTACGCTAGAACTTGTACGATCGCCTCAATGAAGATGACTCCTGAGGTCGTTATTCTTACGTTTGCTGTCCTTTTTAAACTTTCATTGTCTTCAGAATCTTGATTTCACAGTTATTACACTTTTCATTTTTCCCCTTCCTCTCAAATGCCCTGGGTCCCATAGGGTTTGCTTCCTTCTAACCCACTAGTGCGGATCTCTACCACTTCACTTACCTTCTTTGCTGCGAGTATAGCACCGATAGAGCTCTCTTGGGCTACATGTCACTTTATCATTTTAATCCAGCCTAGTCATGAGGTTACAGTTCACCGTGTGCACATAAACCATCCCAATCGCTAAACTTATGTTCCATAATCCACATAATCTTGTATTCGAATGAATTTGTGATAGGTCTAGATCCTTTCATTCCTTTCTCTAGTGTAAACCTATTAAGATGCATCTGACCACATATGTGTATCTAGGTTGA